CCTGCACAGCCCGCAAAGGCTCACAGGGGCTGGGCTCTCCTGGCAGCGATCCCTGTGGGGTTATGCCCGAATTACACCACCCCGCCCCGCCTGCCATGCCACTGAAGGGTTAGAAGCGCAGCCTGCTGCGTGGGTCAGGTGAGCTGCCCCGAGCGACTTGGCAGCCCAGCAGGGGTGTTGGTGAGTGCTGGCTCCCACACGCAGTTTTGATCCTGGGGCCAAACATGTGGAGCTGATCGCGTGCAACTGAGATGGTGCGTGCATGTGCTGAGCCTGCAGTGGGGAGGGGCGGGGGGAGCAATGAATGGGGCGTATGCCATAAGACCATCATCGGGAGCTTTTTCTTTCCGGGGGAGCATCTAGCCAGGAGGAGCTGTGAGCACAACTTGTGGGGGGTAGCAATGCGTCTCCCCTCGCCAAGCCCTGCTAACACACCCAGGTGGGAGTGTGAGAGGGGCAGCATGGGGCCCAGATCAGACCCTTGAATCTGAGCACCCCAAAGGGAAAATCCCCATCCAAAGCCCCCTCCATGTGGTGACTGGGACTCGCAGGCCTCTAGCCCCCCCATGCTGGGAAGTGCTCGCGATCCATGTCCCAAGCTGGTAGCCCCAGCCTGTCTCTGGCGCTTAGCAGGTTAAAGTTATGAGCAGGCTCCAAAAAGGATTTACTTTTTCCCCCACTCCACCGAGCTCAGGCCCCGTGGAAGCTCCTTGTCATGTGCACTAAACTCTGTCTTATCCTCTCCCTTCCCTCTGGATGAAACCTCACCTGCAGCTCCTGCTGCTGCCAGGTAGCTTTATTTGACCGGTGCCGTCTAAACCCGAGCAGTGTGCAGCGACCGGGGTTGATCAGGCTGTTAGCACCACTAATTGGAAAGCCCAGCTTTGCGGGAAGAGCGTGGCTTACTGCAAATGTCATCTGTGTTTAGACTCTCGCAGTGAACCCACGTCTCTCTTCAGGCCACTTTTAATTAGGGACCAATGAGCACATTGTGACACACGTTCCTGTTTTCATAAGAAGCGCTAGGTAGTTTGGCTGGGGGAGCGTCTTGTGGTGGGGAGGGGAAGGGGAAGACGGTGGAGCGGAGGAGCCAAGGGGAGCGATCACATGTTCACGAAATGAATCCTAGAAAGGGCATCTCTCTCTCTCTGCTCCCCCTCCCGCTCTCCCTCCTCCGCGCACCGTGATAGTGTTGAGGTAATTGTACTGAATCCAGCAGCTTGCAAAGTGAAAGAGATTCAGCCGTTGCAGAGCGGCGCAGAGGGCTCTCCAGTGACTAAGCACCGGGACTGTGGAGAGAGCCCCGGCATGGCGGGGAACGGGTCCCAGCATTCAGCACCCCTGCCAAGAGCTTGACAAGGGCTTGCCCCCTGGGTGATGACTTAGCTGCCGGCGCCCTTGCCTGCAGGGGCACGTGTTACGGACCCCGGAGATCTGGGCTTCGGCTGTGCTGAACCACTCTCTTCCTCCTGCCTCCCGGGGTGGGGGAGCTCTCCGGTGCACGTTGTTTTGGAAGTCCTCTGGACAGCTCGGAAAGCGAGGCATGGGGCTGGCATTGTGATCCACGAGAGACGTAACTTTTTCTTTCCCTTTTTTCCCCCACTTCCTCTCTGCAGAAAAAAGCAGAAGCTGCCCACAGGATACTGGAAGGACTGGGGCCTCAAGTGGAGCTGGTAAGTCTCATCTCCCAGTACGGGGGGGCTGGATGGTAGCCAGGTGTGGAGAGGTCTCTGGGAGGCAGGCACATCTGTGCGTACGTGTGCGCGCGCGCATGTCTAACCCATAAGAAGGAAGTGTTCTGCTGTCCAGGACATCCAGCTGGCTCGGTACCAGGAGGGGATGGGGTGAACGGGAAAGACGGAGACATACACACGTGTGCCTACTCCTCTGTGAGCCTTAACCCTTAACTTGCTTTCCTTGTTGTCCTTAGGAGCAGGGGCAAATCCGTGTTGCTCATGTTCTCGCCCACCGTGGCACAGCAGCGGGGACTGAGTCCATGCATTTGGTGCCTCAGTGAGCCTGTGTGTGGAGGATCCCCTCTGCAAAGTGCACGAGCGCTTTCATAACTGGGTGGGGGGAGCATCGGAAGAGCGTCGCGCGGATGGAAGCAGTTCTGGGTTGGAGTGACCTGGTACTGGTCATTCTTGGACCCGGCCAGAGTCCTGCCTGTCGCGCTTCTGGGAACTGTAATCACGGACTTGAGCTGCTCCCTCACCTCCCCCAGCTTGACTCCTCCTTTTCCCCAGCAAGCCTGTACAGCAAATAGCAGGGAACCTCCCTCCCTGAGGGGTGCAGGGGTCACTTCACTGGGGAGGGCACCCTAGAGCGAACATCCCTTGTCCTCCCAGTAGTACTCCCTCCACACTATGGAAAGGGGCAGCTGGAGGGGTCCTGCAGAGCATTTCTTGCAAGCTGCTGACCGCCCCCAGACAGATGCTGTAGCTAGCGGGGTCCTTCAAGGGAAAGCCTGCGGTGGGAAGGGAGGCGCTGGGTTTCTGCTGAAGGAGCATCCCCGGGGAACGTGGCTCTGGGGCTTTCCCTGCCACTCAGAATTCACGAGGGTTTTGTCAAGCGTAGTGAAGGCGGGCATCCCTGGGGGACGGGGGATCGCATCGGCACACCACAGCTCACCTCTATCAGGAAGGGGAGCTGCCCCTCGGCATTGTGGGCATAACTCCATCATCAGGGAGCTCCACCACCAAGTGTCCTGGCCCCTTCGACTGGCTGTGTCAAGCTTTTTGTTCTTTTAAGTATGGTACATCTTTGAAAAGTTCACTTGCCCTCATCCTCTGCGAGCAAAGCTTTCAGAGCTGGCCTGTCCTTCTGTACAGTGCAGAGCATGGTCACTGCCGTCACTGGTGTACGGTACCAGGGAAGACATCCAGTAAGCACGTGCTGCCATGCTTTGCTGAGGTTGTTTGGGTATCTTACAGGCTCCCTTTAATTTGGCTGCACAGAGAGAGAAGTCGTCCTACCTCAGCCCCTGCCACGTGTTGCCACGATACAAATCAATGCTTATTAATACTCAGCCATCTCAATTGGAGAGGACGTTCCTCCAGGAAGGAATGCAGAGCTCTTCATGCACACCCATACACGCTTGCATATGGTACACTTGGTCTGCTTCCAGCATGATGCTGTAGCAATGGGCAGGGGTCCTGGAAGAACGGTGGGCCTGCAGATCTGGGTCCTTGGAGCCAGCTCTGTGCTCGCAGGCTGCAAAACGTTCTTGCCCTCTCACCCGTGCAGGGGTGGCTACCAGCAGGGCCCAGGTCACAGACCTCTCCCTAATATTTGTTCAAGCTAAGCTGGTTATTGCATCAAACAGAGATGGTGACAGATAAGCATTTCTGTGATAGCAAGGCAGCTTGCCAGGTGCTGATTTTTCAAGGCAAGAGGTCACTGAGGATGTTGGTTAGTCACAACTGAGAGAGGCAGGAGGTTATAGAAGCATTAGCAAACCACAGAGTGGCGATGACATGCTGGTAGTTTCATGTGATGGCAGGTTGAATCCAAAGCTAGACCATCTTGAGGGAGTGCTTGTTTTCGATCGGGCTGACTAAAACCTGCTGAATTTTCCTTTTGTTCCTGATCCAAGGGTGAATTGTTGGGCAGCAAGGCCATGTTGACTCTGCCTTCAATTTAAGGTAAAGGGAACCAATCAGAGACAGATTCAGATTTGCAGAAGGGGTTGGGGGTTTTTTGGTGCATTTGTGATGAGAGGGATTTTACCAGCTGAACGCATTGACTAGCAAACCTGGCCTCGGCTTAGCTTCAGGTGCACCAAAGGGGTTTTGCAGGTACCTTGGTGTAGGAGAACTAAGAACTTAGCCATGGATCTTGAATCCTTATCAGTACATCCCTGAAGTTGAAAGCTGTTGAGTTAATCTCCCGACCAGAGACAAGCCTTCGACTTTCACCTTTTCAGCCCTTAATTCTGGGCTTTCAGACTCCTGTGCTCTTCATTGAAATGTGCATCCCGAGGCTTCCTTTGGAAGGTGTCTGCGCTAAGTGAGTGCTTTGTGTTGACAGTCTGTCTCCCTAACTCCCGCTGACTTGATCTTAAAAAATCTGGCCCTGTGTCTTATCTTCTCTAGTGTTGACGGCTGTGTGATTCTCCCATTGTAGGATCACTGCCCTTGGTGCTGCTCGAGTTGGGAATGTGGGGGGTGATTTTTTTCCAAGCTAGAAAGAGCATGGTCTGACTCAGTCCCACTAAAAGGCAATCACAGGCGGATACCTAATTCCTATAGATGCCTCTGAAAATCCCACCCCTCTCCTCCACAGCACCTGGGCAGGGGTCTCCATGTCCTTGTCAGTAGTTGGTCTAACACTGAGCATGGCTTGGGTGTTTGAGAAGTGGAGATGCTGGGTACTGTGGTCAAGACCATGCTGTTTTTTCGGCAGGAAGATGATTCAGAACATGAATCTGAGTGCTGTCCTGAAAGCTTTCACTTGGGCTGAGCCCCGAGTGAGGCATGTTTCATGCAGGGTGAAAAAACTGTGGCAGCAACTTGGCTTGAATTTAGCATAGCTGTTCAGTGCATTGCTTCTCTCATTGACTTGACTAGCATCTAAACTAGGGTTGAAAGCTAAGCACGCACTAACATGGTGTGTGAAACCAAGACCCACTTGTTTACAGTGATGGGCAAGCAAAGCCCTTCCCCATCCCCAAATCTACAAGTGCTAGCAAGCGTCTTCTGCTCGGGATCCCGCAGCAGGCGAGTAGTGCAGTCCTCATACAATGAACTCTCTCTTGCAGATAGGGAAGGCAACTATTTTTACAGCTGCTCGGTGCTGTTCAGTGGAATTCCCCCTGCAGGACAGGAACTGAGTGCAGAGGAGGTTGAATCTTAACAGACCAGCCTATACCCTAGTTTTGCTGTGAACCTGTATCTGTCCCATAGCGTGGCTTTGCTGTGGCCAGGCCAGCCACGGCTGGCACATTGCCGCTCTCTGTGCCGGCTCTGCTGCGTTCTCATTTTCCCTCGCCTGTGAGCATATGGTGATGAATGGTATTTTTAAAGCTGGTGCTGGGATTTTTAGCCTTCCCTGGTTCTTAGTATGCAGGTTTCTTTTAAACCCCGGAAGCACAGGATGTTGTTAACACTTAGCGGTCTGAGCCGTTAGCTAGTGCAGATTTTTTTTTAGGAGGCAGCACAGGAGATTACTCGAACTGATGTGTGTGCACGCGAGACTGGGCCACAACCCGCAAGGCGCACTCACCAGCCGCCTCTCGCCCCCAGTGCAGCCTGGTGACATGATTCATCGTGCACCAGTCCACTCGCAAAAAGGAGGTTGGAGGAAAGCACCTTCTTTTATTGAAGCATGTTCTTGCCCTTCACCGCAGTCCCTGCAGCCGTCCTGCAGGAGCAAACTGCCTATGTGTACTGGGTCCGGCCAGGCGGCCCTTAGGTGTCGTCATTGATTGGGTAGCGCGTGCTGCTTTGACTCTTTAGAGCCACTGCTCTGGCTTCCTCTTCCTAGGAATTGCCTTCCCCTGCTCCTGCGCCTAGGCCTTTCCAGGACAGATGCCTGTCCACCAGCTCCTCCCAGGCTGGAAGGGTCTGAACTGGGGCTTGAACAAGGAGGCACAGCTTGCCTGGTATTCCCTGGTACTCTGGTATCATGACCCAAATCATCAGTGCTGCCAGCAGCTGCTGTGACCTTCATTGGTTAGGTAGCTGTCCCAAGTGCGTTTCGGTCTTCATAGGAGAGGCTTTTATGTTCTGCTGCGGGAAGCTGTGATCTGAGTGTGGTGACTTCTGCGATGCAGGTGCAAGTGGCACCTTCACACCCAGCAGCCGTGGGGATGGGTCAGTCGGACACGCATGTAGAAACAGTCCCTCTGTCCGTCGCCTGCTGTAAGTCTTACACCTTGTGCACCAACCTTCCTGGTGAGGTGATAATAGGGTTTGTACCAGCACCGCTGTGTAACGAGAGAGCAGAATAGGGAAAGGGCCAGTTTTAAATGAAGGCCGTATCTTTGAAAAGTAGCTTCCAGGACAGACGGCCAACACCAGCGTCTAACCATTCAGTGAAGAGGTCTGCGAGGTAGGGGCTGCAGAGACGCACATTGAGGGCTGCAAGATGAGCCATTAGATCTGCCATTATCCTGAGTCTTACAAGGGCTGGAGGATGGGGAGTCTGGTAAACACGGGCTAAGCTAGCCTCCCATCTCCTCCTTAGTGCCCTTCTCATTAGAGATCAAAGCCTCCTCGACCACATTCCTACGGAGGGGCAGCATGGCTGGCTTGTGTTTAATCGTGCTTGGGTTGTCGGCTGGGACTGTCCGCCATCCGTCATGCATTCTGGCTGTTTGATCCCATTCTGCCACAGCTGTGAAATTGCTCGCAGATGGTTCGGCAACAGCTTCTGGATGCAGTGCCTGCAAAGTTGGACAGCATCTCTGCGGTTAGACGGAGGCTGCGTTCGTCAGGCGACCAGTTGCTGCTGTGGTTGAGCCAAAGCTGCTTTTATTGACACCATTTGAGATGCACGTGCAGGCTCTGCCCTGAGCTCTCGAATCTGACTGGTGGCTAGAAACACCTCTCCGGTTTGGGTCTTGAACTCAGTCGTCTCTGGTGCCACCTGCCCCCAGGATCCTCTGCTATACCTCTGGCTCTTGCAGCTCTCCCTGTTTTACCTTTGCATCCTCTCTCTGGCCTAGCCCCAGTTAATATGTGAATTTCTTAGAATTGATTTTAATTTGCAAAAATGAAAGTCTGGTGCCAGAGTTTGTCATACACCAGCCAAGTAGGAGGAATGACCCACCCTGCTGGCAGAGGTCCTGTTGCACAGGAAGAATGACTCGGTTCAGTGCCACATGCAGTGCATTCAACAAAGCCCTGGCCAGTTGTTCATCAGACCTTGGATCGAGCAGTGAGGGCCCAGCCTGCTTTTCTGTGCCTGGAATGGCCCAACAAGGGGGACATCCAGGAATGTGACAAAAGGAGGAATAGTAAGAAGCGGAGCTGTAGACAACAATGGCACTGGGCCTGGTGTTGGGCGCCTGGTGTTGGTCCACCTATTGCATTGGGATTGCCTAGCCATTGGCGTGTGCCACCAACCTGCACAGCTCCATTAGGACCTCCCTGTGCCCCATTTACCTCATCTTGACCTCCCGGTTTCAATCAAATGCAAAGGCAGCTCCTCCTAGTTCGTAAGGGCTTGGTGCCTCAGTCATGCTAGGATATTGGTAGGACTCTGGCAGCCAGAGGCAGAACGATGGTTAGGGAATGGGGTGGAGATGCAGTACAGGCTTGCAGGGAGTTGTTCCCACCACCTTCTGGCTAATCGGTGCTGGCGGATGGGAGAGGAGAGGATTTGGGCTCCAGACCTGGGTGCTGTTCCTTGGATCAGCTCAGCATTTGGATGCTTATCTTGCTGGGATCCTTTGACCCTAGCTGACTTCCTGCCCTTGGGGCAGGGGGCTGGACTTGGTGATCTCCCGAGGTCCCTTCCACCCCGAATGTCTATGACATCTATGAAGCACCGTTCTCACTATAGAGCTGCCTCTATTCCCACATAATGCTGAAATGTGGGGGGACTTTTAATCCCTTTTCCTGAGCTGCAGCCTAGTCCTTAAAAGAAGTGTGGTTTTGGGATGGTACTGGAGCAAGGGAAGGTGTCTGGGGGCACTGGGCAGAGCGTGCTGAGGGCAGGAGGGTGCTGAGGGCCTAGAGAAAGGTTCAAGGAGCTCATATATCTTTTTGATCCCATCAGGAGCTGGTAAGGTAGGTGAGGTTAACATCAGCCAACAATGCACTGTTTAAAAAAAAAAAAAAAAAATGCAAAACTTGGCAGATGCTGGGATCCAGGTGTGGACTGGAAATCTTGGTCCTGTGTGGTGCCAAAGCCAGCAAGTAACTGGTGGGGGCCATTGCTCTGGCCTTGACTCCGTATAGCTCTCACTTAAAGTCTGGTGACGCCTGAGGTAGGGAATGACTTGCTGCAGTTCCCCTTTGGAGACGTGCCGTTCCCCTGGGTGAAGAGCAGGAGTGCCTGGCATGGCCACTAATCAAGCAAGAGGATTTACAGGCTGGCAGTTCATCCTCCTGCAGTAGCTTCTTCCACCCACGCTTTCTCCACGCAGTTCAGATGGGTTGCCGCACAGACGCCAGGCCCCCTGACTCTCATTCGCGTGCCCTAGGCACATGCCGCCTCTCTGGGGACCGGACAGGAAGAGCGCCCCAACAATTTGGGTCCGTTCCGGACCTGCAGAGCTGCAGGTTGAGTCCTTTGCTCTGCCACAACTTCGCCGCATGACCTTGGGCACGTCACTCTGTCTGTGCCGCGGGTTCCCTGCGCATAACCAAGATGAGCATGCTGTCCCCCCCGCCAGGGGTGCTGAGAGTGGACACGCAGGCTCAAGGCTCGTGAGGTGCTGGGATACTGCAGCAATGGCCCATGCGAGCTGCTGGGCACCAGATTCTGTCCCCCAGGTGGCTGGCTGGATTCGGGATCTTGCTCCAGCTCCCTCGGAGGCAAAGGCAGGCTTTTGCGGCACAGACATAACTTGCAGCACACAGACTGTTCCGCCCCCCCCTTCCCCTCTCCTCCCCCGTGTCATATGTTCCAAGGTGCGCATGGCTTCACCGCGGGAATAGCAGCCAGCTCCCCAGCCACGTACGGCGTTTATGCGAATTACACAGCAAAATTGCCTGTTTCGGAGCCAGCTCAGTTGAAGGCTGCCTGCCTCCCACGGGCTGCTCCCAGTCGCGCTGTGACTCAGGCAGCGCGGCCGCATGTGTGCGAGGCGGCAGCCCCTCTCTGGTATGAAAGGCGAGGAGCAGCGCGCGGGGAAGGGAGGCAGAGAGGGGGCAGCTGCGGGAGACGGCTCTCGGCATGGAGCAGCAGAGCAGAATGGGCGACGCGGGGCCCCCTCTCTCCCGCTCTGTCTGGAAGACGGGAGCCCACGCTGATGCCGGAGTGTTTCTGACAGGTTTAAGTTTCTAAATGTCAGACTATACCATTTATGCCTTCATTTTTCTTCTTTATTTCAGCCATTATACAACCAGCCTTCAGACACCAGGCAGTACCATGAAAACATTAAAATGTAAGTACATGGCAATAAAGTCTTATTTTAAATGTCAGGTTCTCTATTAGGGCTGGAGCAGAGGAGAGATGAGCTTGCTCCCAGACCCCCGTTCCCCATTAAGGCTGAAAAGAAATAGCATGTCCTCTCCTAGTGCCGTTGTGTTTGCTCTCGGTGCCCGGAGCGGTGAACCGTCTCAAGAAGCATATTGCTCGAGATGTTAGTGGGATGTTAGGGGCACTGTCTGGTTTTTTGGGGGGCTGGATGGGGGGGAACTAGTCCTCTAATACCATTGCTTGTGGGAAGGGTTTACTTTAAATGGACCCAGTTGTTCAGCATCCCTTGGGGTCATGAGACTCACCATGACTGGAAGAAGAACAACTTGAATGGCCTGCAGTGTTGGTCCCCAAGGCAGGGGTGGCTGAGGTTGGCCAAGGGGGTCTGTACTCAAGGGCGGTCTGTAGTTTTCTAAGGGCCAGCCTTCCTTGCCCGCCTCTCCGTGCTTCCTGTGCTGTTGGTGTTTGTGGTGCGTCTCTGCTTGAGTCGTGTTCGTCTGACTGAGAGCGCTGTGTTCAATCACATCTCAGCGCAACACGTGAGAGACTCATGTTTGACACATGCCAAGGTATGAAATTACCTGTCAGCTTTTCCAGATGTGCTTTCAGCAAGGGTGGGCTTGACATGGAAAGGTATCATGACCATTGGGTTTCAACAAGACCTTTAGTAGACATCTAATGACAATTGATTTTTTTTTTTCCTCCCCCGAAGATATTTACCGGGGGTTGGTAATCCTGCAATTTATCACTTATGTCTTAAACTACATCATTTAATAATCAGCCAACATTTAATAATTGTGATGCATGTAGATTGGACAGCATTAATTGTCATTTTTATAGATTGAAGTATTAAAATTTCAGGTGTGACCTGGGCTTTTGCTTGGGTTGTTGTTATAGAGATGACTACTTTGATGTGGCCTGGTTGGGTCTGCATGGGCCAGGCCTATTATGGTACTTGCCGAAACAGCCTCCTGCTCATATTTCATGGTATCCAGTGCAGTGTTGCTAGACGCCAGTAGAATTGAAGCAAGTGGGGTATCTGGAGTTGAAGTGAATAGGATACCCTACAGCAGTTCTCAGCTCTCAGCCCTAAGGGTTGGTTGCATGCATTATGAATTGCTGCGATGTACGGGCATTCAAACAGTGTTTCTCTCCTAAGTATCCAATGACGGAAAGGGTGGTCCAGCAGTCAGGACACTAGTCTGTGACTCAGGAGCCCCAGGTTCAGGTCTTTGCTCCATCACAGGCTTCTCTTGGCAAGTCCTTTAAGGACAAATGTGTGAAGTGGTTTCTGAGTCTTGAGGCCCACTAATTTTCAGTCACTCTGTGCCTCCGTTCCTGGCTTGTAAAAGGAAGAGGACTAGTCCAGCCCTACCTGCGCCACTGAGGATAAGTACATTAGAAGACACCAAGGTAAAGGAAATCATCTCGTTGAATAGATAACGCTGGAGTGCTGCACTGATGGCGATCAATCCAACACTCATATGAAGTAGGAAAGGATTGTCCTGATTTGCTAGCCAAGGAAATCGAGGTGCAGGTTTGGTAGGCAACCTGCCCAAGGGTCACGTAAGATGGCAGCCATGTCTTGGGAACAGGAATCGTAGGAGTTTCATTGTTGAAAAAACAGTTTTTCCTCTCCGTCATTGAGCTTTCTGTTGACTCGTTTAAAATCCTAGTTTAGCCCCTTTTCCCGTGACAGTAATTCCAGATGCTTTCGGACTCTCTTCAAAGCCCACCACGTCTGCTGACATGGTTAACTCTCCAAGTCCAGCTTTGTCCTCCCCCCGCCTAAATGACCCCTGAGTACATGTCTGTCGGCAGCCACCAATTCCTATAGACCTGGCACGCCCTGACTGACCGAGGCAGCGGAAAACACATGGTCTCAGTAACACATTTGCTGCCGTCACATATCATTCAGGCTATGCAAACCCTGCCAGAAGTCTTCCCCTGTGGATTTGTCCATGAATGTGCTCGCTCCCTTGTTGACTTGCCTTAAGCACGCGCTCTGGCCGTTGGCTCTAACAAGGGTGATGTCTGCGAGCGAAACTCTTCAGCCAGCTTGATGGAAAACAAGTCTTGGAGCTGCCCACATCTGTTATCAAGCCAGAGGCTTCTGGACCTGCATCCCATCAAGGACCATGAATAAGACCGTCAGGACAGCTGCCCGGTGCTCCCAGCCTTGCCCTGGTTGGGAGGAGGCTGTGGACGTCGGGTGCCTTGTTCCCATCGACCTCCCTGGCTCTCATTTCTGATCAGAAGTTTTCTCTGGTGAGTCAGCAGAGCAAGATGCTGGTGCTGCTGGGTAGGGCAGTGCTCCCTGGGGTAGGGGATGGGGTTCGGAGACCCTAAAGGCACAGCCACACCTAGGCAACTTTGTGGAGATCTCTTCTGGTTTGCCGTATGTTTCGGGGATTGGATTATTACGTTGGCACCGAGCTTCTTGCTGGTGGATCCCCAGGCTTGGGGCTTTCTCAGAGCTTACACTGCCCTGTTTCCTGGCTGTCTGCCCCTTCCCTTCGTGCTCCCTTAAAAATGCTGGTCTCTCGCAACTGTCCAAAGCTGTCTCAAACAGCACGTTTAAAGCCCCGACACTGAACAAAGAGCCAGTGAGTCGTAAAGGAACGAGCTAGAAACGGGTCCAGATACTCCACCTGCCCCCGAGTTCCCCTGTTGGTTTTTGTGGTTTTACAATCACATTTTCCTCTAATTGTAATGATTTCTGGTCCTTTTGTTGCTGTGGGAAAGACCCAAACAAACAGCAGAGGAAACCGAGTTGCTGACTACAAGTCAACAGTGAAACTGATGATTAAACGTGAAGCCTGCCAAATGCCGAGTTAAACGGATTCTGCAAAATAGAAGCGTTTTTCTCTGAATTTTCGATCCTAGTCTTCGGGTTATGTGTAACGAGAGCGGGCAATGGATTTGCAGACAGCAATATGGTGATGATGATCATTGAGGTGAAAGAAAAGTCCCTTAATTGGCATTTTTATTCTGCACTTGACTGCCCTACCCTTCGTGCTTTTAAGGGTGGTTGTCATAATCAAAAGCCAGAGGGAGGCCGGGGGGACCGGACTGATGCTCATAGTGGCTTTCATTTTGCAAACATCTGGAAGCTCTGTCTTTTAAATGAAAAACGTCGCTCTCCCCCTTTCTAGCAGAAGCCCTCCAATTAGCCATGTTCAGCTGGTTATTGATGCCACTTAATGCACTTGCAGATCTAGGTCAGCGCAAGGCCCTTAAGCTAGCTTGGTTCCAGATGTAGTCGTCCTTGACAGCAGCCCCGGTTTAAAGGTCTTGTCTTCCAGAATGTCATTTTCCCTGTTGTGGAACACGTGGGGGCGCTGGCTGGCATCGCAGCGTCGTGTTAAGGGGCTTTAGCCCTACAAGAAGAGAAGAGATGTAAGACTAAGGCCCTGTCCTCTCATGGTAATAAGGATTCCCTGGCCCTTTTTGCGAGAGGGAAGGGTGAAAAGCCACAGTGTCCGGACCGGCTGCATTCAGGATGCTCTTATTCCACCTGTATGCAAGCTTCCTCCGTTTTCAACTCGACACGTTCCTCCTTTTCTCTCCATGTGCTTGTGTAGCCTTCCTGGAGAAGAGCAGCTTCCACCTTCCAGCCTGGACGTAGCTGGATTTCAGCAGGAGAGGCAGCGATCCTCCCAGCAGAGCCCTTAGGGAGTGCCTTGAGGCTTCTTCAGAACGCAGGACACAACAGAGTCGGAAAGACGATGACGAGCAGATCCTCCTGCGCTGAAGTCGAATGAATCATGCCTTCCTCTCGGCCACTTCACTGTAAACGGGAGTTTGCTCCAGCCAGAACTGCCCTTGGCACACAGCAGCGCGGTGAAGTAATCTGGGACTGCTTTTCCCCTTAACTCCTGCATTAAAAGCAAAATGACGCAACATATAATTGACTGAGTCTTCCACCTGGGCATGGAAGCACAATCCTGCTTATCTTTTTTTCTCTGAGTATAAAGGTCTCTGTTAATTTTCGTTTTCCAGCTCACCCGTGGAAATGTTCTGCCTCTTGTATTCTTGCAACGCTGTGGGTCAGCGGGGATCCTACAAGATCCGATAGGATTAGCGTCTCCACACGACGACTACTGCAGTGCTACTGTACAGAGATACGCGTTGCATTGCAGCACTGGTTTAAATCTCACTGTTTGGGTTGCTTCTTAGTCAGGATGATTCACTTGTATTATTAATATGGTGATTCAGGAGGTACAAGGAGAATTCACACTCTTCCTACAACATTATCGGAGTCTTTTTGTTATTTTCCTGGAGTTTGATGCTCTGCCTCTTACCCACTACAGTAAAAATTAATTTCATGCCCCAGTTCATTCCTGTGTTTCCAATTTCAAAAGCTTTTAAACCCTCTTCAGCTCTCTTGCTACGTCCCGTTCCCCTTTTGCTTGGGTCCATTTTGGCTCAGGTACGTATGCAGATGGAGAGTGAGAATGGTTAGTTTTGTATGCTATGTCTGCCGTGTGATCCAAGGCACTGCCAAAGACTTGACCTGTCTTAAAGCTGTTCACAGTCTTTTGGGGGAATGCCCAGCTAAATACCTGCTTTGTTAAAAGGAAAAGGCCTGCCACTCTTGTCATTTAGGAGGAAGAAATAAGAGAGCAGGAAAAATTTTAAGTGACCCTCATTCTAATGAGACCCTGCAGAGGGTTGCCATGCCATCTTTGCAGCAGGCAGCTAGCTAACATGCATGACTTACCACAGTATTAATATCATCACACGTCGACAGACTTCTTCAAGATCCTGAGCTGCCCCTAAAGATTATCCAAAAGCCAGGGTCCTAAGCTGAGTTTTAGGGGAACAAAACCTGCTAAGGCAGAGTGACCCCAGGAAAAATAGGATGGAGAACAATCCTCTCCTTCCTTGTATGAGACTTTGCTGAAACCAGGCCCCAAATACCATGCGCTGGCCAGTGCAGTTATACCCATGTTGCCACTTTTT